ATTAAAAGTCAAACTTTCAGTTGAAAACCAGAATTTGGGAAAATCTTTATTCATCACCATGATTTTTTTTTTTTTTTTTTTTAATTTACTATAGGGCGTGCGCGAGAGAGCAAGAGAGGAGAGCACCCCGAGAGTGCGACCATCCACCCGGCACGCGTTTTGGAAGCCCCTGTCTGGGCCCGGGACTGGGACTTGAGCCGGCGCAGTGTGCATCCTGCCACGTGGCCAGCCTGCCCCTCGTCCTCAGAGAGGAAGCCCAGAGGGCTCTGAGCAAGGGAGGCTGCAGAATCGCCTGGACGCAGGCGAGCAGGCGACGGGGGCTGAAGGCGGAATTCAGCGGTTAGAATTGCGTGCATTTGGGGACCCCGCCAGATTCAGGAAGTTAGGGTCCCTGTTAACTGGGACTGCAGATTGCGCAGGGGAGAGTGAGGAGAGGAAGGCCCCCCCTGTTCTTTACCTTGCACACCTTCTGCATTGTAAACTACAAGAAGTGTGTATTTTCTGTGAATTTTTCAATTTATACTAAATTTAAACATTTATAAAAATCCTCTGTGACATTTATAAGTAGGTGACACACGGACCTTTGGAAGAGGCCAAAGACAAGTCCGTAGGCCGTTTTAGGTAAATTGTATTTAAGGTGTCAGATCCAACAGCTCTAAGTTTCCCAGTGGGGCAGCTGGGATTACAACCCGAGAGCCCTGTCAGCTCAAGGCTGGTCCTGAAGGTAGGGGCAGGCAGTGTGCAGTCCCTCCCAGGAGAGGTGGCAGTCAGGCCATTCTCGCTGAGGTAGGTGCCACCGAAGTCCCTGACTGGGCTGAGCTGCTCCCTAGGGGCCAGATGCCCCTGTGTGGAGTCACTGGCAAGCCTCGAGCCCACTGCTTCAGGAGCTTGGACTCAACTCCCACCCCAGACGCCCGAAGAGCCCAAGACAAGTCCTGACCACATCCGAGTCCAGTCGAAGAGCCCAAGACAAGTCCTGACCACATCCGAGTCCCTGACTGGACGTGTAGCTACTATAGGAAGAAAACACCGAGTCCTGAAAGTCATGTCGCTGGATTCCCACGTAGTCGACCCCTGTTCGAATCCTGGTGGTCTAAAACGGACACTGGACTGGGCTCCTGTGCCCGCATTCTCAAGATCCCAAGAGGAAAAGATTGTGGTATGGCCCTCGCCCCTGGGGGGGTCATTTCTCACTGGGGAGAGCACACGCACTATAGCAAAAAATCTCTCTCTAAAAATAAATAAATAAAGTTGTAATTAAATTAGGCATTTGGCAGGAGTACCTGAAAGTATCAGAGGGGAAGAAACAGAGGTGGAAAACTTCTGGGGGACCAGCAGATAGCTTACTGTTCACATCACTGGACTTCCAAATAGTCAACTGGGGTCTGAGTCCCAAACCCGCAGCTTAAAGCACACTGGGGGCGGGAGGAACCAGCAGTTAGCGTAATGGCTATGTCGCTGGACTCCCACGTAGTCGACAGTGGTTTGAGTCCCAGATCCGGTGGCTTAATCTCACGCCAGGCGCATGTGCGTGCGTGCCAAGATCCCGAGAGGAGAATGGAGGAGAAGGGATTGCGGCATGGCCATCCCCCCTGGGGGGTGATTTCTCGCTTTCTGTCTCTCTCTGTCTGGTGAGTGCACGCGCCCTATAGCAAAAAATTCTCAAAAAAAAAAAAAAAGGGATTGCGGTGTGGCCATCCCCCTTGGGGGGGGTGATTTCTCAGTGTCTCTCTGTCTCTCTGTCAAGCACATGCGCCCTAAAGCAAAAACCTCAATAAAAACCACACTGGGCACATGTGCATGTGTGCCTAAAATCACAGGAGGGAAATGGAAGGTAAGGGACTATGGCATGGCTGTTCTCCCTGGGGGGTGATTTTTCGCTCTCTCTGGTGAGTGCATGCACAAAAATCTCTCTTAAAAAAACTCACTTTTCCCCCCAAATAATGATTTTATTTTCATCATTGTTATTTTTTAAAAGAATTATTTATTCATTTTTATTTATTTTAATTTGACCAGAGAGAAATAGAGTATGTGTGAGAGAGAAAGCTGCCAGGTCCAGGACTCAAACTGCGGTCAGCCACGTGGGAGTCCAGTGCCCTTAGCCATCATGCCACCTACCTATCACTATTATTATTTTTTAAATGTGATAGAAACATTCACCAGGGGCCGGGGAGTGAGAAAACAAGCCACCAGGTCCACCAGGACTCGAACTGCGGTAGGCCACGTGGGAATCCAAAATCCCACCCACCACACCACCTCCTGGCCCTGAGGCTTAAAACTTTTAAAAGATGGGGCCCAGCAGGTGCTGTGGTGGTTAAGGTGCTGGACACTCCCACATGGCCGACCACGGTTTGAGTCCTGGACCTGGTGGCTTGCTTTCTCACTTTCCCTCCTCTCCACCCCTCTCTCTCTCTGGTTCAAATTAAAATAAACGGATGAATAAATAAATAAAATAAATAATTCTGAAAAAAGTTTTGGATGATGATCCCTATTCAGTCAAATTCAGAGTACGGATATAAAAATACAGACCGCCATGTATCTTCTTCCCATAAGAAGTAAAGGGTGGCATAGTGAAGGTGGACTTCCACATCGGTGACCTTGTCCAAGTCCTGGACCTGGAGGCTTGAAAACTCCCACCCTACACCGTGTGTGTACGCATGTGCAAAATCCCAGGAAAAGGGATTGCGGTGTGGCCATTCCCCCTCCCCGGGGGCGAGTGATCTCTCGTTTTCCCTGTTTCTAGTGAGTGCAGGCTCCCTATGGCAAAGACCTAAAAAGAAATAGAAAAAATGACGGTAAGACAAACTCTTACGCAGTTGCTAAGTGCAGATCTTAAAAGTTCCAAAGTGGGGCTGCCAGCCCCAGTAACATAATTCTTAAAAAAGAAAATAGTTTCAGACCAGCAGTTAGCGTAATGGCTATGTTGCTGGACTCCCATGTAGTCAACTGTGGTTTGAGTCCCAGACGCAGTGGCTTATACTCACACCAGGCGCGTGTGTGTGCGTGCCCAAGATCCCGAGAGGAGAATGGAGGAGAAGGGATTGTGGCGTGGCCCTCCCCCCTGGGGGGTGATTTCTCGCTTTCTGTCTATGGCGAGCGCATGTGCCCTGTAGCAAAAACCTCTCCCCCCATCAAAAAAAAAAAGAAAATAGTTTCAATGGGCGTCAGCATATTCACCTGGAAACAGAATTAATATATTTAAAAAGAAGGGGGGGGCAGGTTAGTTCTGCAGTGATTTGAAGTCAAAAGTAAACAGGCTATCCCAGAGAAACTAGCATGTTTTATTTGCAGTAACAGAAGTAGGGTCAAGTATTTAGAAGGTTTAAACACGCACGGGGACAGAGACAGGGACGGGGATGGGGACGGGGCTGTCAGTGAACTGGCGTGAGCGCCTCGTAGAGTCTCTGCGCAGCTAGTTCCACCATTTCTCGGAGGGATTCATCGTCCTCACTGCCTTCTTCACATTCTACACTCTGAAAGTGAAAGCACAGACAGGCCTTTCAACAGGAGTGTGGAATGACTACATGAAAGGTAACATCTGAGGTTTTTTTTTTTTTACTCTAGGGCAGGTGCACTCTCTGGAAAAAGCAAAAAATTATCCCCTGGGGGCATGGCCAGGCTGCAATCCCATCTCCATTATCTTCTCAGGGTTCTAGGCATACACACGCGCGCGCACACACACACACACACACACATGCCTGGTGTGAGCTGCAAGTCCCATGACCAGGACTTGAACTGTGGTTGTCCATGTGTGAATCCAGCGCCCCAACCACACTGTCACTCTTCGAGAACAATCGTCCTGTCGGGTGGAGGTCACCACAGGACTGATCATGGAGCAGAACGGCTGCGTGCACTCCCGTGGGCACGCGTGCAACTGAGTCTAGTTACAGAACTGGGGAGGTGCCAGGGAATGCCTTTGGGGCCAAGTCTGGTCAATGACACTCACTTTGTGAAAGGCCCCTATGTGGTCCTGTAAGGATGCTCAAGGACGATGCTCAAGGATGTCAGCCTGAGCGAGACTACTGAGCAGCACCGGGTGTGGTCGGCTGCTCAGCGTCTGGTTTACACTCATGGAAATGCACTAAAAACCGAGTTACTCTTCATTTGCCAGAGAGCGACTACACTTTCCTGCTGGAGACAGAGGGAAAGTGAGAAAGTACCCCCCCATGGGGAAGGGTTAAGCCACAGTCCTGTGGTCAGGTCGCAATCCCGTCTCCTCTTGGGATTTTGGGCACGCACGCACACGTGCGCGGCATGGTAAATTAAGCTGCTGGGTCCAGGACTCAAACCACAGAACAGGCCATGTGGATCCAGTGCCTTAACTTCCAGACCACCAGCTGGCCCCATGTATGTATTTTTACAACAGAAACGGGCCAGTGTGGTGCGGTAGCAGTGCGACACTCCGCGGGGCGGTGTAGGCCCACGTGGGGAGGCCCGGGGTGGGTCCCAAGACCTTGTACACGCCAGGAGCACATACGGTGCCCCGGGCCAGCGGCTGAGCCGGGGGTGGGGGTAGGATGCTGAGTGAGGCCCCTGTGAGGGCTGTCTGTCTCTTCCTCTCATGCAAAACATAAATTGTTTTTAAAAAGTAAGTAAGAAACAGGACAGTTTATGAAAACGCTGCCTCGTGACTCCCTCCCTCCCTCGGCGATGCATAGACACAGCGCGCACTGCGCGTGCGGGCCAGGGCCGAGGGCACCCGGTCACGGGCTGTTTCACTACCGTAGACGGCCAGGGTTTGGGGCTCTTTGTACTGAAGCAGGTATCCGTGTGTGTGTCAGCAGCAGTGTCTGCACTCGTCTAGGTATTCTCTGTGGCTAAATCCGCTACGTGGACTAAAATCCAACTGTGGATGAAGGCCTTCCTTTTCTGAAGCCTTTGATGCAGTTCCCGGCGGAAGGTACCCCCAGTAACCCCCCAGAGCAGTGCAGAGAAACCTCCCTGTGCTTCCAGCACCACTGCGTTAGATCCGTCTTCCATCTATTTAATTTTTAAAAATTTCTCTCCTTTACTCACGACAGGGAGCATGTGAGCACACAACAGAGAGGACCACCCGGACTGGCTCATCACCCACGTCCCCCCCCGCCTCAGCCCTCCAGCGCCTGGATCCTGGGTGGGGTGAGCTTGCTTGGCATTTTTAGAGCCAGCCCTGGTACCCAAACCCGTGCTCGGCCATGTGGCCTTCACTGCTGTAGTTTGATTTGTTACCAGCTGTCCCCAGGAGGGCCCATATCCTCTAATTTAAACCGACAATACGATGCATGGGGGTCCTTGTACTACCAATCTGTGTGTCCGCTAACTTAGTGGGCCTAAACTTAAACACTTACAGATCTGCTGTGATTTCAGCCACTGGGTCTGGGCCTGCACCTGCGGTCAGCCCTGTGGGAGTCCAGAGCCTCAGCCTCCTGTTTTGTTCACAGCTACATTCTCCTACAAGGGGATGGCTTGCTTATGCTTCTAGCTTATTCTACTGAAGTAAGTAAATCCCTGCAGGGAAGAGATATTTATTCATCTTGTAGATTACGCAGGATCCACTGGTGTGAGCCCCGAGAGGGCCCCATGTGCTCCAACCCTACTGTCTGGAAACCAGGCAAACTTGGATCTCGCTGGTGCCAGCAGAAGAGGCTTCTCTGAAAAACCTGGATCTACTGGATGCCGAAGGAGAGAAACGCCGAGGGGCGTCACGGAGGGGAGCAGGGGGTCGATGTGCCGTGCAGCGACGTGAAAAGCACACGTAATAATACGAACCACCGTGTAAACATGACGACAGACAACACCGACCGGAAACACGGAAACCCAGCAGGGCGCCGTGGGGTGTGCAGACGTGTGCGTGCGACTACGTACCCGGGTCTCCAAGTTCACGTTGGCGGTCTTCCCATCCACCGTGACGCTGAGCACGGAGCCGTCCTTCACACTCACACAGTCTTCTCCAAATATGTCCCTTCAAAGGAACGAAGACGCAGCATTGGTGGGAAGTCCAGCTTTACAGGTGTGGGGAGATCACCCACTCACGCCTGAGGATCATTCGCTACTACTTGTATACAATCTGCTGATGTCATAGAATAGGTAAAATACACAGCGGCTGCTCACTAAGAATGCTCCGCTCGGTCAGGCAACGGTATGCACATCACCGTCCCCCGTAACAGTCTGGTACGGGACCTCTTTCCCAGAGGGAAACGAGGCACAGCGAAGGGACGGGCAGGGACTGCTGTAAGCCTCGCGGCCAGTGAGCAGCCGGGCTGCTGCGCAAATGCAGGTACCTACGCTTAGCTGGCGCCTGCGCCTACGAACTGGCCACTCCTCATTCCAAACCCTTACCTGAGTACTCAGTGCAGTGTTTACCGAGCACCTTCTGTACAGCTGTGCTGGGTGACGGGGATACAGAGCCCTAACACTCTCCTGTCCTGGAGGAGCTGCAGTTCAACCATTACCTTCAGCTCTGTGCCCATGAGTGACAGAGCGCTGAGGAAAAGCGGTCCCATCGGTAGGCTGGCCGTGGCCGGGGAACGGGTGGCCTCACGACACGGGTCGGCCCGCGGGCCGTCAGCACTGGCCGTGTTGTGCTGAGCTGCGTGAGATGGACCGCCTATGCTTTCGACAGTTTGTTACCAGGACGTCTGGACGGGTGGGCTGAGGAATCCAGGACTAGGGATATTTTATAAAATACTATAGTATCTCAAATACAGAAAAACCATAAGCCCTCAGGAAGTGTGCCCCCGCCGGGCATGTTTTCAGGCCAGCCCAGGGATCTGAGCCTGGTTCTGGGCACATGGCTTCCAGCGTGCCAGGACATTGCCACAGTGGCTGAGCCGAAGATAACTTTAAAGGCACAGGGACATTCAAATATTGGCATTTGTCCTAAGTGATGACAATGGTTTTTAGGTTTTTGCCATAGGGATCGTGGCCTCACCACCCACAGAGAGGGAAAGTAAGAAATCACCCCCGGGGGGTGGCCACACTGCAATCTTTTTCCTCTGTTCTCTCTGGATATTGGGCACACGCACATGCCCAGTGTGATTTTCCAGGTGCTGGGCCCAGGAACTGAAGCACAGTTGGGCATGTGGGAGTCCAGCGCCTTAACCATGGCACTAGCTGGGCCTAGGGATAATGTTTTAGTCTCTGCTGACGCTGCCAGTCTTAACATGGAGGTGAGACATCGTAAGACAGAGAGGTCTGGCCCGGGGGGGGCACTGGGAGTCGCCGGGTGCGGAGCTGGCACGCTCCCTCCTGACGGAGAAGCAGCCCCCGAGCAGCGGCGCCCCTGCGCTGAGCCCTGCCCGGGCCCTCCCTCAGTACTGGGCTGAGCCGCGGGGCGAGGACTCACTGCAGCATGATCTCCAGCCTCTTGCTGTACACGTGCATTTCTAACTTCTTGGAGACCTTCTGCACTGCACCTGGGTAAAAAGCGACAGGTCATTTTCTTACTTCCTTCTCGGATAATTCCCCAATCAATAATCAGAACGCGATAACCAATAACGGGCAGGATGGACTGGCGTGTCGTGTCTCACAGGTCGCCAAGGAGCAAGTCAGTGTTTTTATCACTTTATTTCATGTTCTTATTAGAGAACCACATAGTTATATTTAAGGTTGCTTTCACCTTTAATCTTATTTCTACAGCTTCTTAAACTTTATATTTACAAGAAGTGAGTAAAATGTGTAACTCTGGGAGTTCTAGGGCCATGTGTCAAGCTCTGGGATCTCTGAAGTCTTGTTTTTTTCTTTCTTTCTTTTTTTGGAGAGGTTTTTGCTATAGGGCGCATGCACTTGCCAAAAAGACAGAGAGAGAGAGACAGAAAGTGAGAAATCACCCCCCAGGGGGATGGCCACGCCGCAATCCCTTCTCCTCCATTCTTCTCTCAGGATCTTGGGCATGCATGCACACATGCCCGGCATGAATTTAAGCCACTGGGTCCGGGACTCTAACCACAGTCAACTACATGGGAGTCCACTGACGTAGCCATGACGCTAACTGTTGGTCCCTCTGAAGTCTTGTTGTATCTAGAATGTTACATAAATCTAGCATTCTATTAAATTAATATTTAAAGTCACTTGTCAAAAGTAGCCTGACAGTTTAGGAAGACAAGCCAGCCTGCATGTGGTTTGGAGAATACCCTGGTGCACCACCAAATACCTCGCAGTCTACCACCGGCAGCAAAGTGGCACTGAATTCGCTGTCTGGCGGGTCCTCAGAAAGTTAGAGAGCCTTAACCTAGGACCCAGTAACCTTACTCCTAGGTAGAGACTCAAGGGAAAGGAAAATACATCTGCACACAAACTTACAAACACCCACAGCAGTGTTATTAGTAATAGCCAGAGGGCAGAAACAACCAAATGTCCACCAACTGATGAATACACAAACCAAACACGGTATTCCACACAGTGGGTAATTAATTGGCCATAAAAAGGAATGAGGAACCGACTTAAGTTACTACGTGGATGACCTGTGAGCACATTATGCTTAGTGAGAAGAGCCACAAAAGGCCACGTATTGTGTGATTCTGTTACACGAAATGTTCAGAACAGGCAAATCCAGAGACAGGAACTAGGTTCGTGGTGCTCCGCGTAGGACGGGACAGGGGGGTTGGAGGGTGATAGCTAAAGGTTATAGGGATTCTTTTTTTAGGTTTTCAGCTGGTGTTTTCTTTGGTTGAAAATTGCTCCTTAGGGAGATACCATTCAATTCAACAAGTTTTATTAAACACAGAATTTCCCCAACAGCACTGGCTCACTTTAGCAGTATTTGGGGATCTGTGACCAACTGTTTTTTTTGGAGAGATTTTTTCACTAAAGGGCGCGTGCACTTGCCAGACAGAGAGACAGAAAGCGAGAAATCACCCCCCAGGGGGGATGGCCATGCCACAATCCCTTCTCCTCCATTCTCCTCTCAAGATCTTGGGCACGCACGCACACACGCCCAGCGTGAGTTTTAAGCCACTGGGTCCAGGACGCGAACCACGATCGACTACGTGGGAGTCCAGCGACATAGCCATTACGCTAACTGCTGGTCCTCTTTTTTTTTGGAGAGGTTTTTGCTATAGGGCGCATCAGAGGACAGACAGAGAAACAGAAAGCGAGAAATCACCCCCCAGGGGGGATGGCCACGCCGCAATCCCTTCTCCATTCTCCTCTTGGGATCTTGGGCACGCACGCACATGCGCCCGGCGTGAGTTCTAAGCCACCGGGTCCAGGACGCGAACCGAGGTTGACTACGTGGGAGTCCAGCGACATGGCCATTACGCTAACTGCTGATCCCCCTGACCAACTGTTTTTAAGAGAACTATTAGAAAAGTGTCATTGCAGTGTCCACGACCACCAGCTCTACACTACGAAGGCAGTATTGGGACAAAAAGCAAGTCATGCTCTAATAATATGTGCTGTTATGCATCTAGCATATCTTTTTTAAAAAGAATTATTTTATTTACCTTTATTTTATTTATTTTAATTTGACCAGAGAGGGACACAGTGAGAGAGAGAGAGGGAAAGTGAAAAAGCAAGCCACCAGGTCTGGGACTCGAACCTTAGTCAGCCCTGTGGGAGTGCCCTAACCACCAGGCCACCTGCTGGCCCCAGCATCTAGCATGTCTCCAGGGTACACGGAATGAAACATGTGTAGATTTCCATACCTTTCCGTATTTTGGGGTTGGACTGAACTTCCAGTATGACGGTGGTCACGGTGTCTGCATACATGTCATTAGAAGGATTTGCCAACCACTGGAAAGCAGAAGGCAGTCAGACAGGCACAGCTGTGGCCAAGCACGAAACCACGCCACTACCCACCCCCGTGGACTGCACACCTGACACGACTGGTTCTGGCATTTTCACTGCCATTAACTGCCTCATTGTTGACTGAAATTAACCAGTAATGCTGGACTCTCATTTTTCTTTTAATAAAAAAAAAGTACAAGGAACTGAACACTTCCTTTGTGGTAGAGTATTTTAAATATGCACTAGACTTTATTTATATTTTTGGGGGGGAGAGGTTTTTGCTACAGAGCGCGTGCACTCGCCAGACAGAGAGAGACATAGAGACAGAAAGCGAGAAATCACCCCCCAGGGGGGATGGCCACGCCACAATCCCTTCTCCTCCATTCTCCTCTTGGGATCTTGGGCACGCACGCACATGCGCCCGGCGTGAGTTTTAAGCCACCGGGTCCGGGACGTGAACCGCGGTCGACTACGTGGGAGTCCAGCGACATAGCCATTACGCTAACTGCTGGTCCCTATGCACTAGACTTTAATTCTCTTAACAAACAGTACCACTAACCACTTCATTTTATAAAAGAGAAAACTAACTTGTACAAGGTAATTGCTGGGAGTCAAACCCAAATTCCCAACTGCTATGTTTTAAGCAGCACAGACAATATACTAAGAGGTTAATATTTTTTAAAAAGAGATTTTTGTTTTAGGGTGAATGCGCTCGCTGGAGAGAGAGAGAGAGAGAGAGAGAGAGAGAGAGAGAGAGAGAGAGAGAGAGAGAGAGAGAGAGAGAGAGAGAGAGAGAGACAGAGAAAGCTAGGGATCACCCCCAGGAGGGATGGCCACGCTGCAATCCCTTCTCCACGCTCCTCTTGAGATCTTGGGCACGCATGCACATGTCCAGTGTTGAGTTTTAAGTCACTGGGTCCGGGCCTCGAACCGCAGTCGACTACGTGGAAGTCCTCATCTGTTGTGTCCCAAGAGGGCAGGAATTTTACACATTTACCCTTGCTTCTCACATGAGGCTGAGGATGGCCTGGTACTGCACATGTGCCCCGAGCTACAGCAAAGTGTGCCGTGTCTCCAGACCGGGGGACACCGGGCCAGTGACTCCAGGCCTGGGCACCCTGACTGCCTTTCATCACTAATGAGTACTTTCACAAGCCACTTGAGACCCTTGAAAAACTCTAGGAACAAGATAGACTTTTACAGTACTTGGTAGCAAGAGCTAAATTTGAAGATCTCACATCACGGCTCCTCTTTTTCTGACCCTACCATTTTATGCATTACTGTTTACGGGTTCATGTTAACGGTAACTCCTGACCGTTTCCTTAGTCGCTGTTGGCCTACGAATCTTACAGAACTGCAGTGAGACCCTGACAGATTTTTTAAATTATTGGTTTAAAAAGAAATGGTATGCACAGGACTGATGGACGGTTCCAGCTCGAGGCGGAGCGCTAGGCAGGGTGGTTCCCCGGGGCCCTCGGTCCCAGCACTCCCTGCGCGAGCCCTTCAGCCTCAGCAGTGTCAGCCTGTGGGTAACTGAGCCCTGGGTGTCCGAATTCCACCAGTGGGAAAGTCAACATTCGAAAACAGGCGGAACCACATTTACCTACATGAAAGAGTTCCAGCTTTGCTGCATTTGGGGCATTTTACTGTTTATTTTAACCTTCAAAATTCCACAGTTTTAAGGAGTGCTACATGACAAACTTGTTTTAATATAACAACTGCATTTTTATCTTGAGAATTTTAGAACTTTTGATATAACTGAATAATCCTTGGTACCATGAAATCAGTTGCAACTCACTTAAATGAGAGACCTATAGTTAGTACATACACTAAATAGCGAACCTTAATGTATTCACAGTTTCCTCTGCTATTGTAACTAAACAGAAAATGTCCAGCTATGCTATTCTTACAGCTAATCTTGGAAAGAAAAAATATACACACATACATATTTTCCAACAATTATTTTTTTCCTGGTTGGGAAGAAACTAGTTTTTTCTACAATAAAATGTAAACTCTTCTTTTCCCCCTCCTTATTTTATATAAATGATCTTATCTTACTTCTAATACCACCATGCCTGGTTCCTGTATTACGGTAATATTTTTGAACACTTTCAGAGCAGGCTTTTCTTGAATTTCTAATTCTTCTACGTCACCTGAAGAAAGAAGTAATTAGAGAGCATATGTAAGTTTCTGCAATCTTCCAGAGTCATCATCATCCATTTGTCTGTAGAGAGGGCTGAAGTAAAGCTGCTACGCAATGAAGGAATTAATATGTCACTTGCACAGCAAATTTTTAAACATCTAAGTTAGTTTTATACTTACTGGTTATAGCAACGGAAAGACCTCAACATATGCTATAAAAATTCCCATAGGGGCCAGCAGGTGGCTAGGGCGCTGAACTCCCACATGGCTGACCATGGTTCAAGTCCCAGACAAGGTGGCTTGCTTTCTCACTTTCTTTGTCTTTCTGTCTCTCTGTCTCTCTCTAGTGAGCACACATGCCTATGGCAAATTTAAAAACAATAACAGTAATAAAATTAAGTAAGTAATTCTAAAAAAAAAATTCATGTAACTAGGTAGGCTTGACCTTCAACAGCAAACATTTTATCAGTAAGCAGACTTAGGGGCCGTTCAAACATCTATGTTTGTTCAAGAGATTTACCCCTCCACTGGCATCTCAACACCTGGTATGAGACTAGCCAAAGTCTGTCAGGTAATTACTTCCACTGTACTTTTTGTCTTTATGAGTTAAAAGGAAATTCTCTAGGGAAATTCTATTGTTGGAGAAATGTCTGGTATTCCTAGTGTGCTTTTTTCCCTCAGAAATTTTGCTATAGGGTGCATGTGCTCGCCGGAATCAGAGTGAGACAGAAAGCAAGAAATCATCCCCGGGAGGATAGCCACGCCACAATCCCTTCTCCTCCATTCTCCTCTCAGGATTCTGGGAATGCACACGCACGCATACGCACGCACACACACACACACGCCTGGCATGAGTTTTAAGCTGCTGGGTCTGGGACTCGAACTATGGGCTACTACATGGCAGTCCAGCGATGTAACCATTATACCACCTGCTGATGCCCCTCCTGGTGTGCTTTTAATGAAAGGCGAATTCAGACATATTAACTTTCTATGTTATAACCTGTAACATGAGGTTCTATAGTTAACACACACACACACACACACACACACACAAAACGATTTTCTTCATACTGGCTTATTTTACGGAAGTATATTACTACATGAACTTTGAAGAGCAGGTTAGGGGAGAGTGGATTTTGTACTATGAAGATTCGTGCATTATCAGGGAGGGGGTGCACCTTTTGATTAGTCACTGCTCCTCAATCTCTAACTGGTCGAATAGAAAACAGCAGCTGCACTCTCTCATTGGCCTCTGGCCAGCTGTCATGGCTCTTAAAAGCAGCAAGCACTACTGGTTGATTTTTTTCCTTCTTTCTTTTTTTTTAGGTTCTTGCCATAGGGTGCATGCGCTAACCAGAGGGAGCTGGTGAGAGGGAAAGTGAGAAACCACTGCCCAGGGAGGATGGCCACGGGGCAATCCCTTCTCCCCGATTCCTTCTCTCTGGTCTCTGGGCAGGTCACATGTGCCCAGTGTGATTTTCAAGCCATCAGGTCTGGGACGTGAAGGGCAGTCTGCCTCGTGGGAGTCAAGCGCCTTAGTCACCATGCCACCTGCTGGTCCCAGGCTACTCACAGTTTTAGAATTTTAAGTGGAGCAAGGACAGGAGGTAATATGGAACTAAAAGAAAAAATTAGGAGTACATTTTCAAAAATTTCACCTAAAAGTGGTAACAACATGATTATGTGAAGCACAAATAATATTTATACAACTCTGAGGTAATTACTAAAGCTAAATAACATATTTTCCAAATATGAAATTATCTTTCTGAAAAGATACAAAGAAAACAAATTCGATGGTTACATACCCGTCAACTTCTGTAGCTGGTAATAAAGCAAATTAAAGGAGCCAGTGTATGGAATGGCTTGGGTCTGTTTCACAGTGCTCATGGCTAAGTCAGTATAATCTAAAGAGAAAATTCAAATAAATACACTTTGAGAAACAATAACCCCACAAAACACACTTGCCAACACACCAGGAGGAAAGAAAAATGAAGTAAAAGCAAAGGAAATGAGAATGTGTTTTCCCGAATGCCAGCAGGTGCGCCTCACAGGGCTCGCCCTGCAATTCCGGCTTCTCTCCCTCCGCCCCTCTGCCCACCCCGACCCCAGTTTGCTCTGCTCCAGCCGGAACAAGGCACCTCCCCTTGAATGCCTCCCCCAGGGAGTGATTTCTTGCTTTCTGTCTCTCTGTCTCTCCAGGACACACATCCGCCTATAGCAACAATCCCTCAAAAAAAGAAAAAAAGACAGCAATTAGTGGGGGCTGGCAGGTGGCGTGGTGGTTAAAGGTGCTGGACTCCCACATGGCCAACCGCGGTTCAAGTGCCAGACCTGGTGGCTTGCTTTCTCACTTTCTCTGTCTCTCTCTCACTTTGTCCCTCCCTGGTCAAATTAAAATAAATAAATAAATTTAAATAAAATAATTCTTTAAAAACAAGAAAGCAGCAATTTGTAATCTCCACCGTGTAATCTTCTCTCTCCCTGAGCCTCACCGTCTACTACAGGCTGCAGCTACGGGTCTGGCGTTGCTCAGCTGGTGGTGAGAGCGAGCTCTAACGGGACGGGGACACCAGGCTCTATGTCAGTCACTTCTCACCTTTCCTTTTTCTTTTTCTTTTTTAAAGGTTTTTGCCATTGGGTGTGTGTGCTCGCTGGAGAGGAGAGAGAGAGCCGGAAAATGAGAAATCATCCCCCAGTGGGGAGGGCCATGCCGCAATCCTTTCTCCTCCATCTTCCTCTTGAGATCTTGGGCACGCACCTGCACCTAGTGTGTTTCAAGCCTTCGGGTCTGGGACTTAAGCCACAGTCGGCCATGTGGGAGTCTGGCAACTAACCACTACGCCACCTGCTGGTCCCACAGAAGCCTTTATTCCCCAGTCTAGACCCTAACTTTGGGATAGTGAATCACAGAAGGGCTCAGCAAGTCATAGAACTACAGGCCATAAAACTCTAAAAGATTCTCTGGGGGTCCAAAGTCACTTCCGCACCCTGTGTAGGGGTCAACTGAATAGCCACCTCTTGGAAGGGGATGTAAGTTTCCAACTAAGAAAAAAGCGATGCCACAAATACTTTAAATGTTTCAATAGTTAAAGGAAGATTTATTTTCCTGAACAGTTAATCAGGTCACTGAGTTTCACCTATTCCTATTTTACTATTTGGTTGTTACCTAAAATTTGACCACGTGGGAAAGAGAGTTTTCCACAGATGTTCTTTCAAAGCTAAGAGCAAATTCTATTTTACATTTAACAGTATACTTACTGGACAAGTCACAAGGAGAAAGTATGTGATAGTTAAAGTTTCTTTTAACAAGGATTCCTGAGACACGCTGGCCTTGTTCGGGTTTTTTGTCTGCTAAGAAGCCCATGACCTAAAAAAACAATCAAGAAAAAACTTGAAGGAAATATAACAAAATCTTGTAAATTGCAGGTACTCGGGCACTTGAACCTAACGATGACCACTGACACCTAAACTGTGAAACAACACACGAGTTAACCATGACAAATATACAGTGTTTTATACCCCTATGGCCAAGCTTGTGACGTGGGAAGAGCCGTAGGGGCAGGTGTGGCAAGAACAGCGAAGTTCAGGTCACTTCCCATCAGCTCAACAACCACGTCAATCAAGAGGGTGCTGGGGCTTCAGAAAGGGAGGGGGGATCAGAGGAGCCTACAGGAAGTGCTGACCAAAACGCACGGGCTCCCTGAGCGGGCAGGCCAGCAGTGGGTTCTGCTGGAACTGAGGTGGGTGCCTGTCAAACCAACACTGAAACAGCAGCATCTCAAGTGAGGTCAATCAAGGTGGGTGCACACGCAGGGCATGTTTCAGGTCAACTGGGCCGAGGAGCCGACCCCGCGGTCAGTCGTGTGGCTTCCGGCACTGTAATTCAGCAGCTTCTGACTGCCACGATGCTTGAGCCACATACATTCTTAAACTATGCGAGGCGTCTTCAAGAGGTTCACGAAAATAAACCTGACCATGAAAATTGAAAAGACTATGCATGGATTTCAAAATGCTTTTGCACTAAAATAAACCCACATTTTAATTGCTTTTTTCCATAAACAATTTAAAAGTCTCCTTGTAAATGGAGATAGCTCTAGTTCCCTAATTTCTTAGGGTTATTTTCTCCTTAAATCTGGTGACGTTCTAAAAAGGTTTACTTCTAGAAAACTGATTTTACTATGGTGCTACTCGAGGAAAAACATGTTTAAAGCTAATGATTTTTAATAACTGACACTATGGGAGCGGTCTCATGACGTAGTAGTTAAGAGAGTGGGATGCACGTGGCCGACTGCAAGGTCTGAGAACACACTAGACACACACGTGTGTGCTCCAAGTCCCACCAGGAATGAGAAATGGGGAAGGGATCTCAGTATGGCACTGCCCCTTGTGGGGTGCTTTCTCCCTCTCTGTTTCTCCATTTCTCTCTGCCAAGTGCACCTGGTCTCTGGCAATTCAAATAAAAATAATTTAAATTATGGCTGAAAAAAAACAGAATAACATTGTTTTCTGAGTTAAACTCAGTTCAACTCAGCATCTCTAGAAATGTATGATTGCAAATCTCCTTTATTCCTACCCAAATCTCAACCAGGAGAGTTTGGAAAATAGATTTTCAGCTGAATATATTTTTCTTCAAGCATAAGAAAAGCCATTCAAACGGCCCCTGCAAAGCTCTGTAAATAGTTGACTGAGGAGAAAACACAACTACCTGCTCTTCTTTGGCAACGAAAACCTTATAATATTAATCTTGCTAATCTGTTTTTTTCCCTCAAGTTCAACTGTAAGAAATTATATTTGTCAGGACCAGCAGTTGGCATAAACCTCTCAAAAAAATTATATTTGCCAATACCTTCTTCATGTCTAATTCATTACATATTTAAAAATGTTGTGGGGCTGCCCAGTGGTGCGGTAGTTAAGGCGGCTGGATCCAACATGGGCGACTTCATGGTTTGAGTCCTGGACCAGACAGCTAGGGAAGCATGCTGGGTATATGTGAACACAAGCCCAAAGTCCTGAGGAGAACGGAGGAGAGGGATTGTGGGGCGCTTCCTCACTCCCCTGTCTGTCTGTCTGGCGAGCACACATGTCCTAGAATAAACGGAAAAACAAAACACGTTGTGAAGTTGTTCATTAACACATATCTTATATAAAATAAATAATTTAAAAGTTTCTCTTGGATATATCTTAAAAATATTTTTGATCAGAGGCCAGTAGGTTGTGTGGTGAAGGTACTGGACTCCCACGTGGCTGACCGTGGTTCGAGTACTAGACTCAGCAGCTTGAAAATCATGCCAAATTCCTGAGAAAAATGGAGGGGAAGGGATTGTAACATGGTCATCCTTCCTGGGGGGGTGATTTCTCACTAGCCATGTTACTGTCTGTCTCTCTCTGGTGAGTACACACTCCCAATGCCAAAAACATAAACAAAACAAAACAAAAACAGGTTTTTGACCAACAGAGGTAAAAATGCAGACTTCTTACAGCATCCCTTTAAAATCCCAGGTAAGGTTTTAACTACTATATTTCTTTTTTTTTGGAGAGGTTCTTGCTATAGGGCAGTGCGCTCGCCAGACAGACAGAGAGAGACAGAGATAGAAAGCGAGAAATTACCCCCCAGGGGGGATGACCACGCCACAACCCCTTCTCCTCCATTCTCCTCTTGGGATCTTGGGCATGCACGTACACGCGCCCAGTGTGAGTTTCAGCCACCAGGTCCGGGACTCGATCCGCGGTCGACTACGTGGGAGTCCAGCGACATAGCCATTACACCAACTGCTGGTCTCTAACTACTATATTTCAGTGTTAAATTCTGGAAATACCATATTTCATTAGCAAAAATGATTTTGAGAGATTTTTGCCATAGGGCATGTGTGACTGCTGAAGAGACAGAGACAGAAAGTGAGAAATCACCCTCTGGGGGATGGCCACATCACAATCCCTTCTCCATTGTCCTCTCGAGACTTTGGGCATGCATGCACACGTGCACAGCATGAGTTTCACGCTGTAGGTCTGAGACTGAACTGCAGTCGGCCCCATGGGAGTCCAGTGCCTTAAACACCATGTCACCCGCTGGCCTCCCAAAAGAATTCTTAAAAGGACCATTTAAAAACACATATATAATGGGGCCAGCAGGTGGCAGGGTATTTAATACACTGGATCCCAACATGGCCGCCTGTGATTCAAATCCCAGAACTAGAGGCTTGCTTTCTCACTTTCCCTTTCTCTCTCTCTCTGGTCAAATGAAAATAAAATGAAATAAAATTCTTTGAAAAATATATACTGTCATATCCACAGAAACACATATCTATTTAGAGATATGGGCAGGCCTCTCCTTCAGTTCTCGAAGAGAACGGCCAGAAGTGGACACGCTGCAGAGGCTGCAGCATAAGCGGTCATGTGCGTGCCCACCCTCAGGTGCGGGCGTGGAGAAGGGAAGTGGCTTACAGCGCCACCACACTGGACGCCATCGGGACCTCACCCAGTCTAATCTGCCTGAACACTCTCCGTCTGCAGCTCATGAACTGGCAGGGTTAAGAGAAGTGTGGGCCAGCCTGTGCTGTGCTGGGTAAGGTGGCTGGGTCCCGCGTGGCCACCTGCATGGTTCAGGTGTGGGACCAGCGGCTTGAGAAGCACGGCGGGGGCTCGTGCAGCATGACCGTTTTCTCACTTCCCGCCTACCCCCACGAGCACATGTGCCCTCTGACAGAAGATGGGAACACAAAACAAGGGGGACCAGCGGACGGCGTAATGGTTATGTCGCTGGACTTCCACTGTCAACTGCGATTCGACTCCCAGACCCAGTGGCTTAAAACTCATGCCAGGCACGTGTGCGTGTATGTCCAAAATCCCAAGAGAAGACTGGAGAAGGGACTGCGGCATGGCCATGCCCCCGGGGAGTGATTTCTCGCTTTCTCTCTGGGGAGTACTCATGCTCTATAGCAAAAAATTTCTCTTAATCCCTGAACGAGAATGGAGGAGAAGGGATTGCGGTATGGCCATCCCCCGGGGGGATGATTTCTCGCATTCTGTCTCTCTCTCTAGTGAGCGCACAGGTCCTAGAGCAGAAATCTCTCAGACAAAACAAAACGCCCAAGGAAGCCTAGAAGTCATAAGGATGAAATTCTCATAGTATACCAACGAGACAGAAATACACATTGTCACCATTTTATTAAAGGAGGTCTATTTTCTTAAGAGGTATACTCTCGCCAGCAGAAAAAACATGGGTAAGGTTAAGAACGATAACCTTTCACCTTGGCTAGCTTTTCTCCCCTGAAGTTCAGGGTCACTGCTTCTGTGTTCCGAGGGTTGTGCACCTCTATGTGAACCTCGTCATTATCTTCGTACTCGCGGATCAGTGCTGCTTTCAACCTGGCCATTTCGTTCTGCTCTCCATGGACTAAAATCTACACAAAAGACATTTGAAAAGAACACAGGGAGACATCACTGATTCAGAAAGTTACTACATGAAATACAGACATATGCGTGGTTTTGAATCTACATTTTTGAGAACCTCTGGCCAGTCAAACTTGTACAGGCATTTTCATCTGTTTAGATATAAAAGATTCTCATGTGGACCTATTTTTTTTGGGGGGGGGGCAGGGAGAGGTTTTTGCTATAGGGCACATGCGCTCTCCAGAAAGACAGGGAGACAGAAAGCGAGAAATCCCCCCCCAGGGCGTGGGATGGCCACGCCACCATCCCTTCTCCGTTCTCCTTTCGGGGTCTTGGGCATGCACGCACGCGCAACCAGTATGAGTTTAAGCCACCGGATCCAGGACTCTAACTGTGGTGGACTACATGGGAGTCCAGCGACATAGCCATTACACCAACTGCTGGTCCCTCACGTGGACCTGGTCCCTCATGTGGACCTATTTTTAAGAGAAAAAGAAGCTTCTTTTCTATTCTAGTCTTCACCAGTAATGATAGACAACTCTCTGTGTCTCTGTTAAAGGGCTGGACTGGGGGATTTCTATAGTCACCGCCAACTTTAAATGCAAATGATTTTTGTGTCAAAAGGTTGCTACTCCTACGAGCTCAGAAAACACCCACTCTTTTCTTTAGATTTTTTTACCAAGACTTTCCAAAGAAGCTTTTTGTGAAGGGGGAAAAATGAATTGTGATATTTCCTTCTGTGTATTAAAGCACTAACACATACAATATTCAGAACCAAAAAGAAACACTTTCTAATGTGATTTTCATCCCCAAATAAACACATTAAGAGTGAAATATTTATGACCTCACATTAGCTACCAGTCTCTCGCTGTTCCCCAGTAACTACTTTACACAGACCACTTCAGCCTATCAGCGATGGCGGGTGCTCCCCCGGCTGGCCACGGAGGCATCCTCACTAGATGGAGTGCATCACTGAGAGGGCACAGCCCACCGCCTGAGCGCAGACCCTGGAGCCACTGCTGACTAGCTACGTGACCTGGACCAGGTGACTCGACACGTCAGTTTGCTTTTTTTTAACACTTCAGTTTTTTCATCCACAAAACAAGTTGTTGGTTATGAAGATTAAGGAACTCAACTCACGTGAAGCACTAGCTCCAGAGTAGCTGGCAGTCAATATTCTGCAAATGCTTGTTAGTGCCGCTCACCGACCACCACCGCTAGTGCTACAAGTTACCATGCAGATGCCTGTCTGCTGGAGCTGGTTACGGAGGAAGGCCAGCATCGAGTTCAACCCAGACAATTGGACTACAATAGAAAGAATTGGGGGGGAGGGGGCGCCAGGCAGTGACATGGTCACTACGCACTGGACCCACCATGAGAAAGGTCCTGGGGTCAAGACCTCCCGAGCACGCTGGGCACACGTGTGTGCACTATGGTCCAGGCTACCTAAAGCGGGGGTGGATCATGGCATGAAGACCTAGAGGAAGCTCTATCTCTTCCTCTCTCAGGGAAGGAAATAAATGAAGAAAGAAGAACTTGGGTGCACACCCAAGACCCCGGCAAACTGAAGCCCTAGAGACGGGGTCATAGGGCGACAAGACCCTCTCAAGGGTCCTCTCCAGCCCCCTCGTGTACGTGCACAAGTTATTCTGAGTAAAGAAAGTAACACTTACAAACAGCAGTGATAGTGTTACCGTACTGTGAATGCAATGCCACTGAATTTATATTTAAAAAGGATTAAAGTCGCAAATTTCATATTTCAGATTTTACATATAAAATACATACATATATGTGTGTATATATATAAGACAGAAAGTGAGAAATCACCCCTCAGGGGGGATGGCCAAACCACAATCCCTCTCCTCCATTCTCCTCTTGGGATTTAGGATATGCACACACATGTGCCTGCCTTGAGTTTCAAGCTGCTGGGTCTGGGACTCAAACCATAGCTGGCCATGTGGGAGTCCGGCATCTCAATCACTATACCACCTGCTATCCCCATGTTATATATATTTTACCACATTAAAAATATTTTAAAAAGCCAAAATATAAAGAAAAAAGTTTAAAAAGCAACAAACAAAACTAACATTTCCTTCAAACCACTTTTCAATATATTTGAAAAAGCTACTTCATCTATTTTCTATAGACATATTCGTTAGTGCTCCTCTAATTAAAAGTAATTATTTTGTTTACTCACCTTCCTAATCCCACCAAAATATAGACCTATTTTATAACTATGAGAAACTTAAAAATGCAAACATCCACAGTAACGCGGAGCTCCGCAGTGGCTTCCCTGCCTACCTGAACCTTAAACTTCGAGCATCCCATGACCTGTCTTTCCCTCTCTCCAGACTGCCCTTGCACAGCTGAGCTGTTGGTGCTAACAGGGGCCGTGTACCAGGCACTATCAGTGTTAGTCACCACGATGACGGACACTAGGCCTCCCGATGAGGACATCAGCAAGACAGGGAAGGAGCTAGGGTTCAAACACGCTGCTCTTCAGATACTGGAGAGGCAGCAGAAAGTAAAGGAATGAGCACTGGGGCCCAGCAGGTGGCCTAATGGTTAGTCACTGGACTCCCACGGAGTCGACCGTGGTTCGAGTTTCAGACCTGGTGCCTTAAACTCATGCCGGGTGCGTGCGCGTGCATGCTCAAGATCCTGAGGAGAATGGAGAAGGGATTGTCGCGTGGCTATCCGCTCCCCGGAGGGGATTTCTCACTTTCTGTCTCTCTTTCTGGAGAGTGCATGTGCTAAACCTTTCTATTAAAAAAAAAAAAGAAAAAGAAAAAGAAAGAAAAAAAAGAAGGAACACTAAATTTGGGGCTGGGTGGTGTGAATGAGTCAGTATAAGAGAGCAAGTGACGTGCACAGCAGCCTGCCGCGGGCGTGGCCACGGTCGGCTCCCAGCACGAGCGCAAGCCCAGCCTGCTCAGAGGGCCGCGGTGACGCAGGCTGCTGTCGATCTGTGCACTGGCGGATGCCTGCTTTCTTGGGCATGCCTTCTTCCCCGTTAACACAATAAATTAAATCCAGAGACTAACCACGTGAGGCGGTTTCAAAGCACGAATAAATTCACTGGTTTGCTGGTAATCTGTATGAGCAGAGAAAGAGATGTAGTCAACAGACATTTTCAGTGGTAGCTTCTGCCCAGACATGGTAGTGATTTCTTCAGGTTCAGACATGATATGCTGTTAAAACAGAAAAATAACAAATGAAGAAAATTATCCAGTAAGAAAAGAAAAAACACATTTTCTCCATGCATCCATAAACTCTCATGTTAAATGTAGGGCTTTCAGTATAAAAAATCATTCTGATACTATGGAGCAATAAATATGAAATAACTGATATTGTTGATCAAGCCCACATGTAATGAGGAAAGTAAGCAGATTAATCAGAACAGTGCACTTGGAGTGCTGGCAATGGACAAACCTGTATTCCCAACTATTCTTGTGTTTTAGTCACTTCCCAGATAGGAGCATCTATATAAAGAACACATGTACTTCCTCCTTCCCTCCTTCCTTCCTTCCTTCCTTCCTTCCTTCCTTCCTTCCTTCCTTCCTTCTTTTTGAGAGGTTTTTGCTATAGGGCATGTGCGCTCGCCAGAAAGCTAGAGACAGACAGAGACAGAGAGCGAGAAATCACCCCCCGGGGGGGATGGTCACACCACAATCCCTTCTCCTCCATTCTCCTCTAGGGATCTTGGGCGTGCACGCACACGCACCCAGCGTGAGTTTAAGCCACCGGGTCCAGGACTAGAACCGCAGTTGACTACATAGCAGTTCAGTGACAAAGCCATTATGCTAACTGCTGGTCCCCAGATGTACTTCTTTCTTGCTTTTAGCTTTTGCTTTAGGGTATATGTGCTTGCCAGAGAGAGGGAGAAAGGGAAAGTGAAAAATCACCCCCTAAGGGGGATGGCCACACTGCAATCCTTTCTGCTCTAATTTCCTCTAGGGATTTTGGGCTCACATGCACACACATCCAGTCTGTGCAGCCAGCCATATGGGATCTAGCACCTTAACCGCCATGCCACCTGCTGGCCTAAGAACAGAAATCTACTTTAAATATATAGTTAATAGCATCTCAAAGGACTTTATAGAAGAAGATAAAATAATACAAATGACCAAAATAAGGATCATATTATACTGCTAAAAACAAAACAGAGGGACCAGCAGTTAGTGTAATGGCTATGTGACTGGACTCCCATGTAGCTGACCGGGGTTCAAGTCCCGAATCCGGTGGCTTAAACTCACGCCGGGTGCATATGTGTGTGTGCCCAATATCCCGAGAGGAGAATGGAGGAGAAGGGCTTGAGGCATGACCATCCCCCCTGGGGGGTGATTTCTCGCTTTCTGTCTCTCTGTCTCTCTCTGTCTTTCTGGTGAGCGCACGTGCCCTACAGCAAAAACCTCTCAAAATAAAACCAAACAAACAAACAAAACAAAAAACAAAACAGAAGTTCATGGTAAGAGGATGAGGACGTGATGCGTGGGTATTCGGACGTTGCCTCTCAGGTGCTGCTCACGTACGCTGCAATGCCTACATCCCTAAGCGCAAACATCAGCCCTTCCATAACAGGAAGAGGAGCAGTCAGCTGGAACACATTCTACAGCTGTCTGTGAGAATGCCTCCTAGGGGCCTCCTTTTCATCAGCCGTGGGCAGTCATGCTTGTCTCCAGTAGTTCCTACCTGTTTGATTTGGTTTCTGTGTATCTAAACGAACACTTCTCAAATGCAATGTGTGCACTCAGCACCTCGGGCTCCTACGCTATTCAGCCTCTGCATAATCTCCGTCCCTATAAACACCTCTTGCCACCTGTTTCCAGCTTCATTTCTAACACTTGAAACTTATGTATCATTTAAAGAACTACTTCTGTGGAAAAATCTGTGAAGATTGGGAATCAACAATTTCGATTAAAAATAACCCAATAGCCCGAGACCAAAACTGACCTTGGCGAGCGTCCCTTCCACACAGTACCCTGCTATAATGACGCCGTTCCTCTTATCAGTACACCAGCTTTCGAACAACTCCCTGGACAAGCCACTCTGCATCATGCCTGGGGAGGCCATCACAACGCTGGGACCGATGTCATCAAAATGATCCATGCTCTAAGAAAGAAAGGGATGGTAAGCTTGATAACTACCAGGGTTTCACAGAGTGTTTTTAAAGGAATAACAGCAAGGTAGGTAAAAGACTAATCACACAACTAAATGAGCCAGGACAAGACTCGTAAACCCCTGAAGACGACTGCTGAGCTCCTCAACAGTTTAGACTGGGAGTGAGAGAAAAGCAATGAAGCAGGAAGCCCACACTGATCTCCAAACCAACCTGTGGCGAAAGGGCCATTAGGACATCTCTGTGCCTCCCAGGCAGGCAGAAAGGTAAAAGGAAGTCAAATGGGTTTCTGCCGACCTAAGAGAGAACTCTGCAAGAAATTTCCCCACAGACTCACAATGGCTTTGCATGCTTTGCGAGTATTTTGAGCTGGCCTGGAACTCTAATCAAAAGGCTTAACGTTGTTTCTGGGGAAAACTTGGCTCTAACTCTTATGCAATTAATTTGAAAAAATATATAATTTATGAACAAAGCCTACTTATAACTGGAAGAACACTTATAGCTTAAATTATTTTGGACATTATTTATCATGATTAAAACATTAGTTTGAATGAATTATTTTGTTTTTTTTTGTTGTTGTTTTTTTGTTTTTTTGTTTTTTGATATAGGGCACATGCATCCGTGTGAGAGATAAAGTGAGAGAAAGACAGGGAAAGGGAGAAATTGTCCCGCAGATGGAATGGCCACACCATAATCCCTTCTCTTCCAGTCTCCTCTGGATTTTGGGCATGCATGCACAAGCGCCTGGCATGATTTTCAAGCCGCCAGGTCCAGAACTTGAACCACACAGTCAGCCCACATGGTCGAATCCAGTACCTTAATATCCATGCCATCTGCTGGCTCAAAAGAATCTATTTTTAATTAAGTAAAATCACATTGTGTTGTATGCTATAGACAAGTAAACACAGGAAAAATCACCTTCATGTATGGTGTTTACACTGCTAATCAGAAAGATGATTAGTTTGGAGGGAGAATAGAGAAACTCGATTTTTCTTGTTGGACTTTTATCCCTATGGCAAAAGAAATCCAAGTTATTTAGCAAATATTGAAGACAAGGAGACTTGGCTCAAGAGCCAAAATCTGCTTCAGCGAAGACAGAATGCCCGCGACTGGAGTTCTGATTTCCTGGAGAAAGCTCACGCCTACAGAAAAGAGCCAAGACTTCAGCCAGAGGAACCAAGCCCAGGCTCCTCCCTGTCTTCCTCGCTCACCTTGAGGTTACTAATGTGCTTGAAGACGAAGGGGTTGTTGATGTTGATCTGCTTGCGGATCTTGTCGTTCATGGCGTTCACGTAGGTCTGGTACACCGCCATGCACTTCTTGGCCAGGGATGAGGCGTAGTAGATGGGGATGTCATGCAGTTCGGGGTGGTTCTGCCAGTACTCATCTGCGGGGTCACAGGGGACAGGCACCATCTCGTTACGGGGCTGAAGAGCCCAGATAAACGACACACAGTGACTTTTAGTAATCAGACAACCAAGAAATCCATTAAGGCATATACATGCATTTTAAAGTTTAAGAAAAATCTAGCCTGACCCTTAATCCAGAATATATTTCTAAATACTAGTATTCTACCTTCACAGAATGCTCCGGTCACAGATCAAAGAGTGGGAGGCTTTTAATGATTCTGTGTAAGTTTATCTTGAATAACAGATTGCAACACTGTACTCTAGAGAGACACCGAATTGTGTGATGGTTTTAAATAAAAAATGTCTCAATAAAGGGGCTAGATGGTGGCATAGTGACTAAAACACAACACTCTGTGGGGTCAATAGGTGGCATGGTGCTGGACTCGCACATGGCCGACCATGGTTCAAGTTCCAGGACTGGCAGCTTGCTTTCTCACTTTCCCTCTCTCTCTCATCAAATTAATAAGTAAAATAAATAAATAAAGTAATTCTTAAAAAAAAAAAAGAAAAACCATGGACCAGCAGATGGTGTAATGGCTATGTCGCTGGACTCCCATGTAGTTGACCGCAGTTGGAGTCCCGGTGGCTTAAACTCAAGTTGGGACTTGAGACATGTGTGTGCATGGCTAAGATCCTGGGAAGAGAAGGGGTAGCGGCGTGGCCATCCCCCCTACGGGGTAATTTCTCACTTTCTGACTCTCTGTCTCTCTCTGTCTTTCTGGTGAGCACACGCACCCTATAGCAAAAACCTCTCCAAAAACAAAACAAAACTACAATACTCTGTGAGGCCAACCCATGAGAGGTTTCTAGTATGCGTCTGGAGACCTCTCTGACGGGTCAGGTACACAGGTGCCCTGATTCTGGCTGGCTGATACTGGGGGTGGACCGTGGCATCAAGACTTTACTCGGAGACTGTCTTCCTCTCATCCATAGAATGAATGAATGAATGAATGAATAAATAAAATACAATAAAAAGTATTATTAATTTTAAATAGACTTAAAACCCGTTCTCTAATTACAAAATAGGACTGCCAAGAGTTAAACTGATTTTGAGCACTTGAAAAATATATAGTCAAGGGGCCAGCAGATGGCAAGGTGGTTAGAGGCACTGGACTCCCACATGGCTGACCACAGTTCAAGTCCCAGGCCTGTCAGTTTGCTTTCTCACTTTTTAACTTTGTGTCTAGCTCTGATCAAATTGAAAATAACAATAATGATAAATAAAATAAAGGAAGTAATTCTTAAAAAAAAAAAGTGTATGTATATATATGTAAAAAGAAAGCTTATTTTAAGGGGAAATTCTGATTAAATCTCAAAATTTTATAAAAGATAGTATGGTCAAGGGAACCAGCAGTTAGCGTAATGGCTATGTTGCTGGACTCCCACATAGTTGACCGCGGTTCGCATCCCGTACCCGGTGGCTTAAAACTCACGTCGGGCGCGTGTGCATGCATGCCCAAGATCCTGAGAGGAGAATGGAGGAGAAGGGACTGCGGCGTGACCATCCCCCCTGGGGGGTGATTTCTCGCTTTCTGTCTCTATGTCTCTCTCTGTCTGGCGAGCGCACGCGCCCTATAGCGAAAACCTCTCCAAAAAAAAAAAAAAAGATAGTATGGTCAAAAAAACATGATTAATTCTACTAGGTGCATACGCATTTACGAAATGTATTAAATGTAATCAATTTACATTTATCATTTCTAAGTTTCACAACAGTTTTACAAAGATTTACCTTTACCTTGTAGATTACAAAACTGAGACTAAGGAAAGGTTGAGTAGTCTGGGAATATTATTTTCTACTTGAAGTATAAGCGATAATTAATCCTATGTAAGAAAGGAGACTTTTTCTTTTCCTTTACATTTTGCTACAGGGCGTGTGCACTCACTGGAGGGACTGAGAGAGAAAGGGAAAG